CAGGGGGCGCAGGCGCGCGGCTCTCCCGCCCTGCGTCCCGCCGCCCTGGCCCCAGCGTGGGCGCCCGCACTGCTCTCCGGGTCAGCGCACCGGGCTGTCCCCCGCCCTCCCTGGAGGGGTGGCTCCTCAAGGCTCGCGAACAAGTCTCGGCCCAGCGGGCGGCTCTCTTTGATCTCGTTCCCTCCCCGCCCTCAGTCCCCGCCGCTGTCGCCGTCGCCGCCCCAAGCGAATTCCTGTTCCGAGGAAGTTGCAGCTCTCGGGTCGGCGCTCTCCAGCCCTGCGCCGCGACTCCTACGGGGCCCGCAGTGCCTGGCGCCACCTCCGCCTTCCGCGAGGGCGCTCTGACCGCGACGCTCGGGCGCACGGACCTGGCAGGGCGGCGGTCCAAACGGTCCTTCCGATCGCAGGCAGATATTTATATATGCATCGAGGTAGGTTTGCTTGGGGAGGGAGGTCTGGAAGTGACTCCTGCGGGAGTGACGCGGCCCCCCCCCAGACGCTCTTCCACCGCCGCTTCTTGAGTTGGAGACCAAGGGAGACATTGACCAACACCTACTACTTGGACAGGTTCCTCCAGGGTCTTAGCGGGCCTGACTTTAAAAATCAGAAACCACTTGAGACTCAGATGTGAGGATAAAGTTCCAGGAGGAAAATGGAGAGACACATTTGAGGAAGGGGTCAGGTGATCCTGCCCTGCCTCTGGGAGTAGCCTAGTTTTACCCGGGATAAAATAGTGGTACCGCCCTTTCCCTCTTTCTGATGCAAGACACTCATGCAGGGAAACTCCCGTGTAAGCCACATTCGGGTCAGAATAATAGCCCACCACTAAGGGACTGGAATAAAATTTCATCTGGAGGCCAGGAACTCTAAGAGGCTGACGCAGGGCGGGCAGTGGGGTAGGCCAGGTCCTTGAGGAGCAGACCTCACGCATAGCAAGATGCCCCACTCAGGAGCCATATGCGAGTTGCCTCAGATTTCAGGGCAGGCGTGCGAGGTACAGGATCCCTGGAGGTGCTAGAACCCCAGACATCAGCTGTAAAGCTGTTGCGGTCTGTGTTTAACCAGAATAAAACTCAAGAACTTGTGCACAGTTCTGAGAAGCCAGCCCTAGCCCCAAGGCACAACCAAAGACTCAGCCGTGTTTTTGATAGCCTGTGGAGTATATATATACACTGGGATTTGAATTCTGCTTCCACTATTTAAAGAAAACCTGTTGCTGCTGAGTTAATTCAGACTCATGCTGACCTCATGTGTGTCAGAATAGAACTGTGCTCCACAGGATTTTTAAAGGCTGACTGTTTGTAAGTAGATCGAGGTGCCTCTGGGTGGATTTGAACCCCCAACCTTTCCAGTAGCAGCCAGGCATGTTAACCATTTGCCAGGTAATCTTGGATACATTATTTGACCATTCTCTGTGTCTGTCGTCTGTAAAAGGGGAATTAACTACCCTATATACCGCCTTGGAAACCCACGGAGGGGTCTATATGAGTTGGGTCCGACTGGATGGCACATAACAACAGCATAGTGGGAGACTGGCGGTTCAGTGGTAGAATTCTTGGTTTCTGTGTGGGAGACCTGGGTTGGCTTACTGGCCAGTGCACCTCATTTGCAGCCATCACTCTACCATCAGTGGAGGCTTGCATGTTCCTATGACGCTGAACAGGTTGCAGTGGAGCTTCCAGACTAAGACTAGGAAGAAAGGCCTGGTGATCTACTTCTGAAAATCAGCCATTGAATACCCCCTGGAGCACAATGATAGATCCACAGCGATCATAGCTATGACGCACGGCCAGGCAGTGTTTCCTTCTCTGGAGCAGGGGGTCACCATGAGGTGGGGGCTGATTCCATGGCAGCTAATATTAATAACAACTACATGGCTGATGTGTGAGGAGTAAAGAAAAGTCAATGTAAAATATGCAAAATAGCTCTGTTTTGTGGGAAAAAAAGAACAACCTAATAAGATACCGGGCACATAGTAAACATGCAAGTTTTACCCAGAAGAGACCTAGCATTTGAGCTACACCAATATGGCTACAATGCCACCTTGTTACTAGTTTTTTGTTTTTTTCATTTTTTAATGTACTTTGACATCAACCTAGTATTTCATCTTCTCACCTTTTGCACATTCCACCAAATGCTACTCCTTTCCTCAAATTACAGCAAATTCAGGCTTTGAAAGTCATGAGTTTATTCATTCATATGCTTATTCATCCGTGTCAATCATTACTTCTCCAACCCTTCCCTCCCTTATGCCTTGCCTAGGTGGTTGTAACATAAATAGCCTACTGTGATAGTTGGAGCTGTGTGTCAACTTGGCTGGACCACAATTCTGTGTGGTTTAAGCAATGGTGATGTGGGTTGTTCCCATGATGGGATCAGATGTATATGTTTTGAGCAGCAATCTGTTGAAAGGGAGTTTCCCTAGGGGTGTGGCCTGCTTCCAGTATATTTATGGACATCTTGGCAAAAGAGATACTCTTCTGTGGATCGGGATTCTGTTGTGCTGCCTACAACTGTCCACGAGCAAACAATCCACCATTTGGCCTGGAGATCTTGGATTCGTCATTCGTTGGAGTCAACAGCCAGTATACTGCCTGCCACCCTGGAGCTCCTCCGCCCCTGCAGCTGCGTGAGTTGGTAAAAGCCTCCAGCTTGACGTTTGATCCAAGAACTTGGGACTTGCCAGCTTCTATAAGTGTGTGAGCCATTTTCCTAAGATAAATCCTTCTCTTTCTCTCCATATAAGCGTTACTGATTTTGCTTCTCTAGAGAACCCAGTCTAACATACCTCCTAATTGTTTCAGCTGTATCCACTCTTGTCTGTTCTCCACTTGTGGGCGGGTTATCTTAAGTCATCTTCATTGAGGTATAATTTACATGCAGTAAAATGTATTCATTTAAATTGTACAATTCAGTGAGTCCTGACATGTGTACATCCGTCTAACCACCAATCCGGTCATCATACAGAACATTCCAGCCACTCCAGTTTCCTTCTGGGCCCTGCAGGAGGGTGATAACAGCTTTTAGGGTTATCTGATTCTGTTGCCTTTGCTATTTTATAACTCTGTAACCAGTTTCCAACTCATGGCGCCCCCATGTGTGTCCGAGTGGAACTGTGCTCCGGGTTTTCAATGAATGATTGCTTTTCTCAGAAGTCCATCACCAGGCCTTCTTCCCGGGTGCTGCGGGGTGGACTTGAACTACCAACCTTGCAGTTAGCAGCTGAAAGAGTTAACCAGTTTATATATTATTTTGTGTTTAGCTACTGCTCTGGTTACCTAGTGCTGCTCTGACAGGAATATACCACAAATGGATGGCCTTAACAAACAGGGGTTTATTCTCTTACAATTTTGGAGGTTTAAAGTCCGAGTTCAAAGTGCCAGGCTCTAGGGGCTGGGTGAAAGCCCCTCAGCCTTGGGCTTCAGCTCTGCCTCCAGCTCCCGGCCCACTGAAGCTAGAGGCTTTTCTTCACTCAGACAGCTGTTGGCTGCTGAGGCTGACAAGCCCAAGGTTGACAAGTAAAAAGGCACAGTTCCGATGTTACCAAACCACACAGCAGGTCATTAATTCAAGTCCATTGTAAGTCCCAAGGTTGGCAGAGCATGGCAGGCTGCTGAACAACAACACAGCTACATGCAGAGACCATGCCCCAAGGCTTCTGCTTATATACAGGAAACAGGCCATATTCCCTAAGGCAGCTATGCAGCTGCTCACAGTAGATTCCACCATGGAGTTGATTACCAGTCTCATGAGCATGGAGAATACTACATCCAGCTGCCCGGTCACTCAACCAGGCTCAGCCAAGTTGACACACAAGCTTAACCACAACAGCTTCTTAGCATGTTTTTGAGATTAATCCATCTTGTTGTAGGTATCAGTAATTTGTTCTTTTTCATGGCTGGGTAGTATTTTATCCTGAGTATACCACAATTCATTTGCCTATGCACCTGATGAAGGTATTTGGGTTGGTTCCAGTCTTTGACTATTATGAATAAAACACATGATTCACTGAAGTTCAAGTCCTTGTGTGGATGTTTTCATTTTTCTTGAGTAAATACCTATGAGTGAAATTACTGCCAAAAGAAACTACCAAATTTTTTTCACAAATGGGTGTATCATTTCACCTATCTATCAACAATCTGTGAGAGTTCCATTTGCTCCTCATCTTGGCCAATGCTTGGCGTTGCCATTCTTTTTAAATTTAACTGTTCTACTGGTTGGTATTGGGTATCTCATTGTAGTTCTAATTTGCATTTCCCTTATGACGAGTGATGCCAAGAATCTATTTGTATGCTTGTTAGCTGTTGGCATATTTCCTTTTGTGACTCTGTTCAAAAGTTTTATTTTTCTTTTTTAAATTGAATTGTGTTTACATATTCTGGATATCAATTTTTTTGTATATATGTATTGTGAATACTTTATCCTAGTTTGTGGGTTTGCCTTTTCATTTTATTAGTCTTTTGAAGAGAAGCTTTAATGTTGATGAAGTCCATCTTTTTTTTTTTTTTTACAGTTGATGTTTTTTGTGTCCTAGGAAAGCATCGCCTAACACAAGATCAGATTTTCTTTTTTTTTTTTTTCCTAAAAGTTTTATAGTCTTAGTATTTATGTTTAGATCTATGATCCATTTTGAGATAATTATTGTACATGGTGGGAGGTAAAGGTTCAAGGTCATTTTCTCCCAAATGAATATCCACTTGTTCCAGCACCACTTGTTGAAATGACGCTACTTCCTCCATTGAATGACCTTGGCACCTCTGTTGAAACTGAGCTAGCCATACACGTCCATTTCTGGACT